TGGAGGGCTGGAGGAAGGTGATGGGAGGTAGCTGCCACTTTGTTGGCAGCTGAACATGGAAGTAAGTTTTACAGTTTTGTTATCAGGGAAAGAAACAGCTCGGCTGCAGCTACGCTGCTTGGTCCTGGGTGTCTGTCGCTTTATGCTTTACGCTCTGCACCCTTCCCATGGGACACAGGGCACACGTAAGGCAAGTGAGTTTGCAGCATGAACACCATCATTTTTTATACTCATGTGCATGATCTACTTTATATCATCTGTACCCAAAGACTGTGAATAGCATCTTGTCTCTTCACACTAGGTTCAAGGACATTCCAGTTTACCCAGAAACATTAGCTATAGTTTATTGTTTGTACATATGCTTTAAAAACAAGCCTTCTCTAGAGTTTACTATGGAAGTTTGTTTTGAAAAAAAAAAACCAAACAAACAATTTTGAGCAGATCAGAAATACTTTTTCTGATAAAACATTAGTTTCTACTCTCTGTTGCCTCAACGTTTGTACTAGAAAACAGAATATTCCTCACACTAAAATTGTGGTGAAGAAATCTATTCATTATTTTTGGGTGCTCAGTGTCAAATTACATCACCATTGGTCTTTTTTCCCCTTCTACATGGTATCTTGTGGAAAAAAAGGACTAATTTTCATTTTGACTGGTAAAGAGCAAAAATTCCTTTTTTTCCCTTCTTAAATGGGTAGTGCTCCATTGTTTTGTAGAAATCGGAGGAAATATGTAAGAAATAAGGAACAGCGTATGTGAAACTGTCTGATTTTACTTGTCTTCCTTAGGAAGGGCTAGTTGAAGAAATTACATGAGAATATGTTTTAAAAGTGAATATCTTTTGTCTTAACATAAAATAGAGCTCCAACATCAGTAAATGATCAGATGAGAGTACTTGTTTACCACTGAATTTGAACAGAATCAAATATTCAGTAAGCTAAAAGCGTATAGCTGGTAACTGATAGAGAAAGGCAGCCTTTAATCTGTTTCTGGTAACTTCTCTTTGTATTTAAATGCTAGTGCTTAGACATTGCCATAGCAAATAAGCAAATAGTCTAAATAGTTTACTGTTCTATCTCTAATCTAAAACTTCTGCAAATACCTAAGGGTGTAAAGGTGAACAAGCAATTGTCGAGAATTGCGTCACCTGCCAAACATAAAAAAAGTTACCTGCTTCCAATAGCACAGGCCAGTTACTCCATAGGCAACTAACTCCTGCATATCACAGTTTAAGACGAAGGATGTTAAAAGTGGGAAACCTTGAGTTGCACTGATGCTGAAAACGATGAAAATGGTTTGTAATTTGATGAAAAATAGCTTGTAACTTGATGCATCTCTTCCTAGAAACTCTGTCAACATGGCTATGGTATCAGAATTTCTGAAACAGGCATGGTTCATGGAAAATCAGGAACAGGAATGTATTGTAAGTATTATCACCTTTTGAGAGCGTCATTCTTATTTTCAAGTACTTTTAGAAGTGATTTAAAGGCATAGGCCACCAAATGTCTTTTGTATACTCAAAGGGAGGGAAAACACTGTCAAAACTCCAGCTGATTAGAACTAGAACCCAATTTTATTGCATCATATAATCTAATATAATCTAGTGACATAGTAAATCTGCTATCAGATGAAAGGTTTCTTATTTGTGCATATCAGTCTAGTTATCAGTTCCTAGGCAGAAGCAGCTACTGTGATGAAATTATATTTCTTGGTAGCCAATCACTGTTTCATTCAAGTCATCCTCTTTAAAGTAGTAATCTGATGCATAGATGTGTGAACGTGTAAGAACATGAGAAGAACAGGAACTCTGAGGCTGAAGTACAGGAAGCCACAGGTTGGAGCCCAGGAATGTAAAGGACGAACTAAAGTCACTAGTATGTGTCCTAGTTTTCATGTCATACACCATGCCTACAGTGAAAAGAGTCACAGTATGTAATAAAACATCTCAGATGATCAGTACTGATATTGTTTAGAAGGGAGGCTTATGGTGGTGAGAAGTCAAGAGTTATTGCACTAGGATGACGTGGAGAGTCTTTGTGAAAATGAAGTTAAGATATCAAAATGACTGTCAGCAAAGCTAAAGCAGCACACCGTGAAGTCACAGGAGAGCCTGAAAGAGCTTTCATCTTGAAAAAAATTGAACATGGGGGCAAATTTCAGTAAATAAAGTTTTCTACTCTAGACCTTTGTGGGTTTTCTAATATTAACTCCACAACATTTTGTACACAAAGCTTTGATTCCACCCTCCTATCCCTCTAGCATTCCCAGGTTCCTGAGTCAATCTGGTTGTAGTGGTTACACAGATTTTTATTCCTAGCAGATAAGTTTGTCATGGAAACCAGTATAAAATACTAACCTGGTGTGCCTGGGAAACAGACAGCAAACGAGTCCCATTCCTCTGTTGGTATATCACACAAGTTATACTGATTTTTTTCAAAAGTGTGCAAGACACTGCTTTAAGTATGCATTCACTCTACACTTATACAACTTCAACTCCCTAGATAATTGTATCACTAGAATATTTAATTATCAGACATTAGAAGTGTACAAAATTCAGTACAGAATACTGTATGCAAAATGTGTATCCATAACACCTTACCATTTATCTTCCTCTATTTAACTTTGGCAGTAAAGCATTAAAAAAAAATAAAATAGTGATTAGTTGAAACCGGATAAACACTATAGGTGATTCTGAAAAAGTTTAGCTAGACTACTGAGGGTTTTTTTTTATTAAAAAATCTCACCATATATCATACCAAGGATCTAACAATCTTGGGGGCATTTTATAGCTTCCGTAAAAAAACAGTAACAAGTATGGCATTGGTTAGGTAGTGCTGTTGGGTTATAGGTCCTACCAGTAAATTAATTTATCATGTCGCTGACTTAGGCCAAAACACGTAATCTGTCATGTTGTAGAATTCATCATCCCTAGTTATTCCCAGAGAACTTCAGACTGACTAGGGAGTGCCCATCTAGGAGTGGATTCATTAAAGGCAGCCACTAGATAATGACTGTGAAGAAAGTGTGGCTTACTTCTCAAGGTTCAAAGAAGTTAGGTAACAGTTCTCCACTTCCTCATAGGATTAGACTTGAACTCTTCTCCGAGACCTTGCGTGCAAGAAGTGCTTGAAGCCTTAAGTATGAATCAGCTGAGAAGTCACTTTAATATGACGCACAGTCAATTTGCGTAAGATGAGCAAGGAAATTAGTAGCACATTATTAGCAGTGCCTATAGGATTTAAGTGTGGGTTTAGAGCCTTTAAAATTTGAATATAACTGCCTAATGTGACAGTTAAGAAGTATGTTCCTGTGGAATGCAACTTACTCTGAGAAATAGGTGTTGAGGTGCCCAAAACTATGTATGAACTACTTTCTGTTTAATATACGAAGTGTGAAAGGAATAGATCCATTGCATAGCTATTACCAAGTCTGTGTAATTCTCTGTAGTTACAAAACTGTATATGTTCCTTGGTAGTCCTATAATAGGCAATCCCAAATACATGGTTTATTTAGGCAGCTAAAACTGCTTCATTGCAAAAAATATTCTTTGGAATAAGCAATTATTTTTTTTAATTAGTTTTTTTTGTTTTCCCTCTGCAGAAAAGTTCAAAAGGTGGCTCTGGAGTACAGTCATACCCTAACTTTGATCCATCAGCTGACGTTGTTGCTTTAGACAAAGCCATTACTGTAAAGGGTAAGAGGAGTAAATATTTAAACTGCTACATTAGGACTCTTACTTAGGAAATTTGGAGAATAGCGCTGAATAAAATATCAGAGAGAGAATCAATGGCAAGCAGGAGAGGTTTCTCTGCTTTTTAAAAGCTTGGCAATGCATTAAATTATGCCACGTGGTAAAGAAACTCAACTCTCTGATATCCTGATGTTGTATTACAGTTTCAGACCTTAATACTGCATTAAAGTTCTTGAATATGTTGAAGTGTTGTAAAAATTTAATTTCTAGAGAACTAAAAAAATATTATAACATACCATAATACTTTTTGATTTGATTTCCATCAAATCCCAGCAAGAGGCAGTGAATATGCTGATAATGTAGTGTGTGCTTCTATTGCGCTTCTTTCTCTACATAAGTTTCACATTTGGCACTTTGCCTGTACTTTGAAACCTTTTAAAATTTGACTTGCTGAGATTAAATTAGTGTGCAATCTAATTATTATTATCTTTTTTTGGTTATTCTGTGATGTAAATTCTGCACTGAGAGCACCTTTTATATGAAATTCTAGAAACATACGTTTCTGTGTTCTATGGGAATCTATTTATTGGGTTTCTTCACTACATCACTGATTGTAAGTCAGTAGAGGATTACAGTTTTTCCTTTGGTTAAACTTCAGTGTGTCAAGAAATCAAAATATGACATAAAGCAAGTTATAAAACGTAAATATTGTTATTTGACTAAATGATGCACTAGAGGCCACTTATTATTTCCAATATATTGGGTATTTTGTGTTTGGTGACTTGTAGGTGTGGATGAAGCCACCATCATTGACATCTTGACTAAAAGAACAAATGCTCAGCGTCAGCAGATCAAAGCTGCCTATCAACAGGCTAAAGGAAAGGTAAGGTGTGTTCAAGCCATGCTTAAGTTTACACCCAGAATATTAATGTTGATCCTGGCTCAGATGATACATACAGCTTTAGTTTCATAGAACAAAAAGTTACGGTCTTTTGCCTTCTGTAGTTTGTGAAAACCATGACAGAATGATAGCCCCATAACTATATTGCCAGTGCTGAGCCTTTGAATACAGCAGCCACTATTTTGAAATAAATAGAAAAAAAATTATGTTCTGACTTTCCAGTTTTTTGAATGCCCTAGAGATCGTGTACATCACTAAATCACTGGGAATGCAGAGATTTTGCTACCACCTGGAAGACAATTTGCTGAGAGAAAGGGAGGGATGGAGAAGGTGGCTTGAAGGCATCTCTCTGAATATTTAACTCCAGACAAAATACTAAATAGAATAGGAAAGTTGTAGGACCATAACACTGTTCCACAAATATACCAACACTGGTGGGGGGATGGGTGTACATGAAGTATGTTCTCCTACCTCAGTGGTAAAACTGCCAATCCTTGGAACTGAGAAGCTTGGAAATTACTGCGTGTTTCTGGAAAAGGTTTTAATTGCTCTTACGTTCCTCTATAACAATTTTTCTCCAGTTGAACCTGTAACTCTAAACTGAAACTACAATTGCACAGTTGGCATACTAGAGTTACTGAGCATTTGCTCCTTGGAAAGCGATTCCTTCGAGTGTTTTGCATTATAACTCTAAGTCTAACTTTTAAAGACCAACTTAGAACTAAGTCTAATATCTCATTTTAGCCTAGATTTCCTGTTTCTGTTCAGGAAACCTCACTTGTGGTTTTAACAACCCTCTCCCCGCTCAGAGGAAGCTTCAGCCTTGCAACTGTATTTTTTAAGGACCTAAATTAAAAAGACACAGGGAAGGTAATGCTATTAGATTGCAGATACCCTGGGTCCTGGAACATCGTCAAAACTAGAACAGCACTAACAACAAACGTAGTGCTTGCTTTTGCAGTAGTCTCATTGGCATAGGTATCCTGAGAAAGCAGATTGACCTTCTCACTCTTACAGCCACAGCTTTTGCACATACTTGGTGGGGAACAGGGCTGTGACTTTTAGTGTAATAAAATAGAGTACTGAGGAGGTAGAATAAATGAGATTTTTTTTTTTTTTTAACTTAAATTTAGGTCAAATTAGAATATAGCCCAGATCTTAACTTCAGAACTCACAGTTTTGTGTAGGGTGATATTACAGTATGTCTGCAGTTTCCACTGCAAATTCTTTACTCTTTATGCAATAAATGGATGAATTTAAAAGTTATCCAGATAAGCAACTCAGTCATAATCATAACAGCAATATAGTATTACCTTCTCTTAAAAAACAAGCAGTCTATTTTGAGTCTTCTTCTAATGCTGTAAATGTCTGAACTGCAATGTGTGAAAGCACTCCTGAATACTTACTGAAAAACCCTGACACTTTGATTAACATCAGGGTGAAAAATTAAAAATTTCAAGGAGGACTTCATAATTCCAGTAGCTAAAGGAATTATGTAGACTAAGATTCATCAGAGATCAGACCTAGTTTAAGATTCACTGGTTTAGCATTTTTTTTAATTCTTCCTGTCACAGAGTCTGGAAGAAGCCTTGAAAAAAGCTCTGAAAAGCCACCTGGAAGATGTTGTTGTGGCTTTGCTCAAAACTCCAGCTCAGTTTGATGCTGAAGAATTAAGAGCCTCTATGAAGGTATGACAAAAGCTTCTGAGAAAAACTTTCCTAAAGAGCATAAATAATCAAAGCCTGTAAATGACACTGGACTTGGTTTTCAAAGATTGCCTACTGTCTCCATTTTAACCTCATTTTGTAAAATAAATCTATACTGGTAATCCAGGTTCTGGGAACAAGACCCAGCCATCTCCACTGAATTTCAAGGTTGGAATATATTGTCTGCAAACAAATTCTTTTGTGAGAATGAACTCTTTATGCCTTCTGAAAATTGGTTTCTGTTGCAGTGGTGGAAAGCCGGAGCTTACATATATGTTTATGTAAAAGAAAAGAAAAAGAGAAGGGCATATTTTTCTTCATAAATTTTGCTTTCCTATCTTTCATGTGCACTGCTTGGTCCCTTGGTCACTTTTGGATACCAGTGATATTAGATGTGACAAAAATTAATTTCAAAAGAGCTGAAATAACAATATTGTATGAGAGCACAATGTTCTTCGTTTTTCTTTCTCGTTCCACATGGGGCCTTCGAAGCCAAATCTATGATTTTCACCGTATTTTCAGTATTCTAAATTTTAAATTTGCTGTATCACATAACATCACTGAAAATTCAACTATTTTTATCAGGGGCTTGGAACTGATGAAGATACCTTAATTGAGATTCTGGCCTCAAGAAACAACAGAGAGATCAGAGAAGCCAGCAGATACTACAAAGAAGGTAATTCAGAGCAAAAAAGAAGTATTAATGCTGTAACTCTGTAGCAGACACTACTGTCACAGCCCCACTTCTCAATATGTGATACTGAAATGACATTGTAGGAGGCAAGTGAAGCTTTACATAAGATTGAAAGAGTTGCAGAGGAGGGAGGTCATACTGACTTTTTCTGACCGACGTACATCTCAATACAGAAGGAAAAGGCATATCCTGACCACCAGAATTGTAGATGTCTCATGGGATGGGCCATACATCTAAATGCTTTCTAGGATGCAAGCAAAACCCAGCTGCTTTTCTTGTCTTGTGACTAAGCCTTGGCTGACCTCTGAAGATCTTGCTAAACTTGAAAAAAAAGTTTATTGAGTTAGCAGCACAGATGACATTAGCAGTAGGAGCAACCAGTGATCTAAAGGGGGAAAATCTTTGAGATAACTAAAATGTAATGTGGTATCTCTCATATATAGAGAGTTTACTGCAGTCAGTTAGTGTTGTCTAATTAAATCATGTTCTCTGTGATTATGGGCTAACTTTTCCAAGAGTCTTCCATTCAAATAGTCTCAGTTAGAAGTCCAAATTAAGAGTTTGATTTTTTCAGAAGAGTTTTGTGATTCAGTTCAGTGCTGATAATGACAATCAGAAATAAGAATGCGAAACAAATGGCTCAGAAAAGGTTTCAAGCTTTTTTTTTCGTACTTCACAAGCAAAAGCCAAAGACAATACCACCCACAAGACCTTAGAGAAGAACTTTTTCATCAGATGTTGGGCCTAGCTTCCAATTTCACAGCATGTTTCAGGAATTAGAGGACGTGTACAAATATGTGCCTTCTCTCAAAGCTGAATGAGAGAAGGTAAGAAAACTGCATTTCTAGTGGGTATTTTTAAGTGGAAATTAAGAAAAGTCTGAAATAGTCATATAATCATAGAATGGTTTGGGTTGGAAGGGACCTGTAAAGATCAGTTAGTCAACTAGTTGACTAGTCGATAGCTTTAAAGCATACTACAAATCCTTTTTCTTTTGATTTCAGTGCTGAAGAGAGATCTGACACAAGACATTATCTCTGACACATCTGGAGACTTTCAGAAGGCTTTGGTTGCTCTTGCCAAGGTATGTTGTGCTTAAGCATTTGGAGTGACATTACCTGTAATAAAAAATTAATGTTGTCAAGACTATTTTAGAGAAAGACATACAATAAATAAGGATTTAGGTGATACTTATTTCCTTTCACTATTTTTTATTTACACATCTTACACCATATGAAATTTTTCTTTAAAAAGCTATAATGAGATTTTATCTCAAATGCATTTTAAAAACCAATGATGTTTATTACTGTTTATTAGTTATGTTTTTAAGACTTTTTTTGTGGTAACTGTTTGTAAACACTTGAAAAACAACAGGAAAAATGTCATGTCAATTGGCTAGCAATAGAAAAAGAACAAATGCTTACAACTAAAGAAACAAACATTTTGACTTGGTGTTAAGATATGTTTCTAGTAGTTAGATAAATATTTGATTCCATGATTGTTGAGTACGTGCATAAGAAGCTTCTACGTACATACAGGATTTTTTTTTTATACGTCTGTGTACATCATTTTGACTTTAAGTTTTTGATTTCAAACCAACTTAAACGGAGTCTATTGAATGGTCATCAGGGAGCAAATCAAAGCTTTCAAGCCTGTAACTTCACGTTAAGAAACAACACTTCCTGTGGATTTTAATGTAGGACTTCAGAAACAAGTTGCTAATGGCCTTAGAAGTGTGAACTCTGATTGATTAACAAATAAAACAGCTTTATTCACAGAACAATTGACAAAACTATATCTATCTACAATTATGTATTAAGTTATGTGTGAGAATGGAGTGAAATTTTATTTCTTTATTTATGTAGGCTGATCGATGTGAAGAATCTTATGTGAATGATGAGCTTGCTGACAATGATGCCAGGGTAAGATCATACTTGGCACTCTGCAGAGCTTCTTCATCTGACTTGAGATTAGACTCTAGCTGAGAATGTTCTACCCGAGTCTGTGCACTGCAGACATAAGAGAGTTTATATGTTATGTAGCAATCTTTTCTGAGTGGATACTATTGTGCAAAGGCCATGACAGCTTTGCTCTCTGAAGGAAATTAAATCTTTAATATCCAATTTAAGAAACATTTCTGCAAGACGTCTTTATGTAAAGGATGCAGAGCATTTGGAATAGATGTCACCAACTGGAGAAATTAGACACAATCTTCCTTCTGTTTATAACACAGTTCTTGAATTCACAGACAAATGTGTGCTCAAGTATATGTGGGACTATCTACCATACCTTGACCAGTGTCAACTCTGCAGTATGTTAGCTATAGCTGTTGCTTTACAGTGATGAACCTTTCAAGATTATTAGGTAAACCTCACAGTCATTTTCTGATAATTCTGAAATAAGCAACTGGTCTTTACTTTATTTCTTCCACCATTAGTGTGACTATTTTTGTTAAAATCTTGGTAAACCTTAGCAGTTTTTCCTGAGTTTTCTCCTATAAAATATTACATCACTGTTACAATTTAAATGTAGATTGACTTTAAACTGATTTTTAAAATAACCAACCAAGAAAAGGCCATTGAGCAATACTGCTTTTATCCCTGCTACATATGTGTCGTGGTTTTAGGCTGATCTAGCAACTGAAACTCACACAGTCTCTCCTTCTCCAGGAAAGTAGAGAGGAGAGGGAAAAAAAAAAAAACAAACAAAGGGACTGAGGGTTGAGACAAGAACAGAGGGAGCACCCACCAACCATGGTCCCGGGCAAACCAGACTGGGCTTTCTCAAAGCAAAAGAGTTTATTAATGATTACTTGAAGGACAAAGGAAAATAAAAACCGATTACTCGAGAGGACAGAAAGAAACAAAACCAGATCTTAAAACCGACACCTTCCCTCCCCCTTTCCTTTTCCTCCCGGCTCTACTTCCTCCCCCCAGCAGCACAGAGGGCAGGGAC